TCCTTCCTTCCTTCCTTCCTTCCTTCCTTCCTTCCTTCCTTCCTTCCTTCCTTCTCTTTCACTGTTTCTTTTTTTCTTTCCTCAGTTGCAGTAAGGAAGGCTTGATCAAAAAACAGGCTGGCAGTGCAATTGCTGATGTCGTGTGTGAGGTCCATAATGCACCTCCAACAAACACTTTGATAATTTTAGCTGCCACTCTGAGCAGTTTGCTGCTCCTGGTTCTGGTTTTAATCTTTGTGATATGGAAACACAGAAAGCGCATAATGAAAGGTAGGTGGGTGGGAACAGCAATCAGCATGGTAGTGATAATAATATCAACACCAATTGTAGTAACTCTAAACAGTTGACCATTTTTGATTCCAATTCTGAAGCAGGCCGCGGGTGGGGAAATAAAGTGGCTGGGTGGTGAATTCATGTTGCTTCCAGAGTAAAATGATAAAGATGAACACATCATCATCACCATCGGTTGAAAATAAAGAGGCTACCATGTAAGATTTCCAAATGCAGACTGATAAACATTTAGCCCATAATAAGCCAGACATGATGCTAGTTACCAAGGAACATTCAAGTGTGGATACTTGACATTGTAGTAGCCGCAGACAGAAGGGTCAATCAGAACTAGCCAAATACAAAGGCCTTTGAGTAGAAATTCAGCAAAAGTGGAAAAAGAAAGTTGTTAGTGGTGCCAAAAGGGGTTGGAGGGCTTGGAGTCACATCGAAAGAGCTGGCGAAGGGCTTGGACATGATAGGAATAGAGGGAATCTCATCTCCTCAGTTGCAAAAAGTTGCATTACTTGGAAGAGTGAAGATATTACGACAGTGACTTTAAGCTATCTTAGATCCTTGGGAAGGATCCGATAATCAGAGCTATCTGATCAACTGTGTAATAATAATAATAATAATAATAATAATAATAATAATAATAATACCACCACCACACCACCACCACCACCTTATAAGGCTGCCAAATTAGAGAGACTCAAGAAAATGATAGCCATAATTGTCCATTCGCCATAAATTCCGTGTCTCCCAATTGGCATAAAAAGTTTCATTGTCGGGGGAGAAAAAAGAGGGCAGGATTGGGGGGTGAGATTTTGCTAGGCTGTAGTTTTAAGATTTTGTAAACTACAAGAAATGTTTCTAAGAAAATGTCTTTCTTTTCGGTTTGCAGCAATTGGCAGAAGAAAGGTAAGTGGGCCTTCTTTTAAAGTCTTGTAATGTCCTTTGGAATCTCACCTTCCCCCCCCCCCCAAATTGGTAATTTAGGGGTCCTACTTTAATTTCCTATTGCTCCCATGCTTCGAAAATCGGCCACCCTCCCCCACAAAATCCGATTCCCCTTCCCTGCGAAATCTTCCGCCCCCAAGACTGCAATGCTGTGGGTGCTCTCACAAAATGGCAGCTGGGGAGGGGCGCAGCACCATAACTTCAGCGGAGGTTGAGAATGGGGGGCAGACTTTCAGTCCCGTTCTCTTGGGCGGCTTCTTTCCAACCCATAAAATCTGGGGGTCTTTTGGTCCCCAAAAGTGAGACTCCCAGCTGCAAAACCTTTGCCCAGTCTGATGGCACGATCTGTGTAACAGTGGAACAATCTATCTAAAGAATCCAAAATCTGTGGGTTTTTCATTTCTGGAGGTTTTTAAGAAGCTGGACGGCTGCCGCTTGGGGTTAGTTTAATTAGTTTTCCTGCACAATGCAGGGCCTTTGACTAGATGATCTTTGGGGTCCCGTCAGCTCCAGAATTCTATGATTCCTTGGGTCTATTGACCCAAAGACCTTGAATCAAATGAGGAAAGTTCTGCATCTCTGATTCTCATTGAGAGTGAGTATGAATTCAGGGTCCTATTAACCTTAAAACATTCTCCTGGTTTTAGGGGGAAGAACCACGTCTCAGAAATCCAGAGAATGAATGCATGGTAAAGCCCATTCAGGAGACAACCCAAAATCCTGGGCAGCCAAGTTATGCAAGATCTTGAGACATGACGGTGCTCAGCCCCTCTACTAAGGCTATTCACTACTCCTGCGTTTATGGGGGAAAGGACTAAGAGGAGTGACCTGTAACGGATTACTTGGGCATTCTCTGTTTTGATCTTGAAGCTCCAAAGCAAGGGACGCCTTCCAAATTCATGCAGAGAAGGTGGCCTGAGCTGAAACACATGCGGACTATAAAGATAAAGCAGAGCGGGAGAACTTCCCGTCCCAAGGAAGAGCAAGAAGGGGAACACTACAAAAAGTGAAACATTCCACAACTTTTATGCTTTGGGGTGAGCATCCGTTCTCACACAGTCAGTGAGAAATAAAGCAACACCTCATCTAACCGTTGGAAAAATGGGACAGCGAGAAACCATTGTTTCAGTGCAAAAGAAGGGGTTGATCAGCCCGTTTCGCAGGGTGGGAAGGCAAACGTGGCACAGAAGAGTTTGCACCCAGATCATAGAAACGGAACTTACTGTATTTTTGGGTATAATGTCATTAAAGATGTTTTTTTGGAAAAAGATTAAAATCGGATAGAAACTAATATAAAGTGAGAAAAAGAAGAAGAAGAAAGGAATCAAGGAAAAAGCTAGACGTGCAAGAAAGGGGGGGAAATGGAAAAGAAAAATAGAGTGGAAAGAAAAAAGATACACGGAAGGAGCTTCCGATCTTCTTTACAGCAGTTATAAGTGGAATTATAAATTTACCTCTTACTCTACGGATACAACTAACTTTTTTCTTTCCATAATCTATTCTGTCTAATCATCAAAACCATAAATCCATCAGTTCATTTTTTTCTGTTTCACACAAAAAGTCTATAAGGGGTCTCCAGCCAGCAATAAACATAGAGATTGTCTTTTCTCTGCTCAAAGAACTCAATTTAACCATCTTAGCAAGTTCCTTCATTTTTACCAACCGTTCTTTCATTGTGAGTAGTGCTGAATCTTTCCATCTTTGTGCATACAATAATCTCACGGCAGTTATCGTATACAAAAACAGACTTCCATGGCTTTTTTCCAACTGTTTGTCCATCAATCCCCAAAGAAAAACCTCTGGTTTCAATTGTATATTAATCTTTAAAACCCTCTGAATCAGTGTGTGTATTTGAATCCAAAATGTTCTAGCTTTTTTACATGTCCACCAAGCATGATAAAATATCCCTTCCTATTGTTCACATTTTCAACATAAATTTGAAGTGCCTTTATATATTCTTGACAATTTTTCTGGTGACCTGTACCAACGGTACATCATTTTATAAAGAAATCTCTATCAGATTATAACATAATGTGAAACAGAACTTACTCTTGGAAAACAGCCGTTCCTGGAATGCTTTGTAGGTTGTCTTCAATACGTACTACTTAGCAGAAGGTCCTGGGTTCTCGTGAGCTTGTTGGGTGAGTTTCAGCCCTGCTTGCTGGTTGAAGGTGGACCTTCTGGAGTGAAAAGCTGGTCAAGCCTTTGATTACTCTGGAAAGTTACCACCAGATTGTGAATCTCTCAAGCAGTGTGAGGTCTAGGAATTCAGCAGGCCACATTGTTTGGCACTGCAGCTTTCCAAGTCCTCTCGGTGCAGGGGGAGACAGCTACATAGATGGTCTTCTGGATGGTCCTCCAAGCTGAGGAGACGCTTTGGGTGTTGTTTCAGCATCAAGGGAGAGCAGGGGAGCAGACTTTCTCCAGCCAGAGATCCTCAGGGATAACAGGTTAGGAACTGGAATCTGGAAAGAAATAGAGATGAAGTTATTGTGAGTGGGGCCAACAGCAGTTTTGGGCAGGGCTAATCTCCTTTCTCTCACCTGTTGCTCTTCCAGCTCTTCTGTCTTTCTCTCTGCTCCTCTCCTTCCAGCCTCCTCTTCTTCTTCCTCACTGTGAAGTTGCTGGATTCCTTGCTAGAGTTGCAAACAGAAAGCTTGCTGAAGGCTTTGGAGAATAATCGGAGGACTGATAGTTGCTTCCAAGTCCTTCCAAACCTTGCCTTGTTCAAAGAAAGGGACAAAAGAGCCATCCGCCATACTTGGGGGTTACTCGTTGGCAAGGACTCGGTTCTTCTGAATCAGGTGGTAGAGCGTGAAGCTGTGCACTGTTGTTTGCCAATTGAAGTGTTTGAGATTACGAGAAGGATAGGGAAGAATCCCATTCAGGAATCAACGTCTTTTCTGTTGCGTTGTGTTCTGTTCTGTTGCATTTCTGTTGTGTTGCATGAGGCCAGCCAGTGTTGGCTGGCCCCATTCACCCTTTGGTCCTGGTTACATGGATGTGTCTTTCAATGTGTATGAAAAAAAATGGCCCATTCTTGTTTTTAAGGATGTGGTAGATCCATCTAGACTGCAAAAGAATACGCTGGCTGGGGAATTCTGGGAGGTGAAGTCCACGCATCTTAAAGCTGCCAAGGTTGAGAAACACTGGAATACAGTCTGGTGCAGCTTCTGATGAATGGCTTCAGAAGTATTATCCCCAAGAAGTGGGGTGTTCTCCTCCATCGGAGGTCTTCAGACAGAGCCTTGGATAGTCATCTGCCAGAAATTCTCTGGTGGCTCTGCACTGGGCAGGAGGTTGGGCAAGATGACCTCCGAGGTGACCTTGAACTCTAAGGTGACCTTGAGAGGGGATGGGGAGGTTGAACGAACACATCCATTTTGCACAAAGAAAGGGGTTCGAGGACATCCTTCCCAAGCTGTGTTTCCTACCCTACGTATTGCTTTGATTTTTTAAAGAAAGTGTGTGTGTGTTGTGTTGTGGTGTGTGCTAACCCAGCTAGCACCTACACTTTTTTGTTTGTTAGGATGTGAATGCACAGCACGATCCTGCAACAGCCTCAAGATGTTAAAAAAAAAAGGACCAGCTATCAAATTTGCCACATTTCTCCAGAATTGTATATGACTCAATCTTAATATCTCTGTGTACCGAGGATCCAATCCAGTGTATGAAAATGTCTTCTTCTGGGACACTATTCCAAGCTATGAGATAATTGATGATTTAAAAGTGGCCACCTTCTCGCACATTTTTTGTACTACCCAATCATTTTCTGTTAGGAATTTTTTTCCTAATATTTAATTTAAAAGAGATGAATCCCCCCTGTCCTTGAAACTCTCAAAACTCTCAAGCCTTGGCAGGGAAAATGTATTCAAGAAACAGGAATAAAATATCCAGGTTTTCCCATTCCTGCAATCTGAGGCTTTCCTTTGTTTAACTAGTAACGTATCACGGATTATTATTTTTAAAAAGATACGGACTGAGAAAGAGAGACGTGCAGCCTCAGATTTGTACATGGTGCCCCCCAAACTTCTTGTGATTGGCAAAGCTTTTCACTGGACTGTAATTTTGAGCGTGAACATAATGGGCCTACCGTATCTTTTTATCTCCACGAAGTAATAATATGAATTGCACTGGATTAAAGGTAGCTAAAGTTAAGTTAAAATAAATCACATCTAGGGTTGTTTGGCCCCTGGTGCACACAATTGGGGTTCTAGGCCAAAAAGTGGTTGCATTTGAGAAAAGGGCATGGAAAGATGAGGTCAAAGCTAGAAAAGCGAACAGGCCAAGTCTTACAGACCGCAGAAAGAACATTTTGCACTCATTTAATGCTTGTGAGCATTCAGAATCGTTTACTTGGACACAAGAGGCAACTGTCCTGGGCTGTTGAAAAGGAGATCTTTTTGTAGAAACCTTTCCAAGCTTCAATCACCCTCTTCTGCTGGAAAACTCTGTTTTCTCTTTGAAATCCTGGGGTATTTAATAACCGTTGGCGTCTTTAGAAACAAGTCTCTTCCTGTCCCTCCTGCTCACTCTTCCCAGTCGTAAGTCCATAAGAAGAATTTCTCACCAGAGGTCTTCTCTTGGGAGAAGAAGCCCAAGGGCTGGTGTGCAAGTACACCTCGCTAGCACCCCTGTGTTCTTGTCCCCTTTGAAAGAAACTTCAAAAGCCACTTTCCCCCCTCCAAATAAATGTCAGCCAGTGGGAAAATGTCAGCCTGTATCCAGGTTTGGCCTTCTGAAAGAGAGTAATATGAGACTTGATCCAAGGGTGGTTGAACCTCCTTTTCTAGAGTCTTAGCTAGCAAGAAGCGGAGCTGAAGCTGCAAAAAAAGACTAAGGCAAGAAAAACAAGTTAATCGATGAACCAACCTCCTTGTTTTGCATGGCTTGCTCTTTTCCATAAATATGTGGTTTTGCGTTTCTCCAGGAAAAAAGCTTTCAAGCTTCTGGAAGCTTTCGATTCCACCCAGAACTGCCTTACAGGGGTCACTAAATAAGAGTTCGGGGTTAAATCTGGTTCATTCTATGTACATTCATAAGCTTACAAACCTCTGCCCGTAATAAAAGATACAAAGCTCCAAATAGAGCTTGTGTATATAAATCAAGATCAGGGCAATTTCTAATGTAATTCTAACCCCTTTCTCTCTTACACACACACTCACAAACATTTCTACCTTTTGGGGAAGGGTCCCACCACCCAAGCAAAGCTCAGGGAGCTGTCCAGCGGCACAACTGCCCTACAAATAAGGCGGAAGGGAGCTGTCCAGGAGGTAAGTAGGCCATAGAATTGTGTGGTTGGAAAGGACCCCAAGGATCATCCAGTCTAACCCTATGCAATGTGCAGGAAATTCAGCCTTCCATGAGGGGTCGATGTCCAACTGCTTCTTAAAAGCTTCCAGAAATGGAGAACGCACAACCTTAGTAGGTAGACTGTTCCACCATCAGATAGATCTTACCACCAGGATGTTTTTCCTTATATATAAGTGAAATATAGGGTTAGTGTTAGGTCTTCAGAAGCTTTCCAGAAGAACTGGGAACTCTGGATGTCTTCACCCTTCCTAAGCAGATTCCCATTCTGACAGTCTTTGTGCTCACATCTCCTTCAACCTGGTAGGGCATTGTCTTCACTTGTTCTTCAGCCTGAGGACAAGATGGGGTCTTTTCTGATTCCATGCCAGCTCATGCTGGCTGAGGGCTGATGGGAAATGAAGTCCAAAACATCTGAAGACAAAAGGTCTAGATATTTATAGACTGGCAATCAAGGGTGGAAAGACCACTAGTCTATTTTAAGGAAGTTAAAATCAGGTTGAGCATTAACAGTCCAAGCAGGAGGAGAGATAAATGAACCAGGAGCAAAGTTAGTTGAAGTCAGAGCCTGGAGCAAAGTTGGAAAATGGCCCAAGGATCATTGATAGCAAAGTCATCAAGGACACACATGTGCAAAATGTTCTCTAAGTGCCAGCTTGCTTCAAATTCAGAACTTTTCTAGCCTTCAGCATTAACTAAGTTAGGATGATTTGCGAACAAGGCATTCCTGCCCTCTACTGTATTCTAGATAGTTTCTTCTTTCTACCTATTATTTCTTTCTCCACCAATCTATGCTCCGTAGATCCTACAAAGGGGAGGGTGCTTACCCCAGCAAGTCTCAGCGTTCACCAGGATCCTGATCCTTCACCAATAGCACCCTTCTGGTTGCAGCTTTTGGGGAAGTTTGGGTTGAATTTGACAAGGATACCTGATCAACAGACTCCGGTTGCAGAATGCAGCCTCCCCAGGACCTTTTAGGTTATGCAATTGGCATTTTCTTTCCCATTTTGCACTCCTCCTTCTACACACTTCCATTATAAAGTTATTTTATATTGCTGTTCCTGAAAATTTATTAAAGGAAACTTAATTGGCTGGCATCAGCAAGTATTTATGTCAGTCCTGGGCACAGAAGAAAACAGTCAATTATGATCATACTAACTGTTGTCCAGGAACAGGTTGTGTGCAATGTTTACATTACTTTACCCATTTGCTGTTTTTTTTAACCCATTCAATTGTGTCCGATTCTCG